CGCATGTATACGCACGTACACGTACACGCACGTACACGCACGTACACGCACGTACACGCATGTATACGCACGTCACGTCACGCACGTACACGCACGTACACGCACGTACACGCATGTATACGCACGTACACGCACGTACACGCATGTATACGCACGTACACGTACACGCACGTACACGCACGTACCACGCACGCACACGCACACGCACGCACACGCACGTACACGCACGCACGCACGTACACGCACGTACACGCACGCACGTGCACGCACGTACACGCACGTACACGCACGCACGTACACGCACGCACGTGCACGCACGTCCACGCACGCACGTACACGTACGCACGCAGGACACACGTGCACGCACGCACGTACACGCACGCATGTATACGCACGCACGTACACGTACGCACGCACGCACACGCACGTACACGCACGTACACACGCGCGCGCACGTACACGCACGTACACGCATGTATACGCACGTACACGTACACGCACGTACACGCACGTACACGCACGTACACGTACACGCACGTACACGCACGCACACGCACGTACACGCACGCAACACGCACGTACACGGCACAGCACACGCACGCACACGCACGCACCAGCACGTACCGCACGCACACGCACGCACACGCACGTACACGCACGTACACTCACGCACACTCACGCACACGCACGTACACTCACGCACACGCACGCACACGCACGTTCACGCACACGCACGCACACGCACGCACACGCACGTACACGCACGCACACGCACGTACACGCACGCACACTCACGCACACGCACGCACACTCACGTACACGCACGTACACGCACGTACACGCACGCACACGCACGCACACTCACGTACACGCACGTACACGCACGTACACGCATGTACACGCACGTACACGCACGCACACTCACGCACACGCACGCACACTCACATACACGCACGCACACGCACGCACACGCACGCACACTCACGTACACGCACGCACACGCACGCACACTCACGCACACTCACGCACACGCACGCACACGCACGTGTGGGTCTCTGTGAGTGTCTCTGTGGGTCTCTGCGGGTCTATGTGGGTGTCTCTGTGGGTCTCTGTGAGTGTCTCTGTGAGTGTCTCTGTGGGTCTCTGTGGGTGTCTCTGTGGGTCTCTGTGGGTCTCTGTGAGTGTCTCTGTGGGTCTCTGTGGGTCTCTGTGGGTCTCTGTGGGTCTCTGTGAGTGTCTCTGTGGGTCTCTGTGGGTCTCTGTGGGTCTCTGTGAGTGTCTCTGTGGGTCTCTGTGAGTGTCTCTGTGAGTGTCTCTGTGGGTCTCTGTGGGTCTCTGTGAGTGTCTCTGTGCCTGCGGGTCTCTGCGGTTCTCTGTGGGTCTCTGTGGGTCTCTGTGAGTGTCTCTGTGCCTGTGGGTCTCTGTGGTTCTCTTTGGGTCTCTGTGGGTCTCTGTGCCTGCGGGTCTATGTGGGTCTCTGTGAGTGTCTCTGTGGGTCTCTGTGAGTGTCTCTGTGGGTCTCTGCGGGTCTCTGTGGGTCTCTGTGGGTCTCTGTGAGTGTCTCTGTGGGTCTCTGTGGGTCTCTGCAGGTCTATGTGGGTCTCTGTGAGTGTCTCTGTGGGTCTCTGTGGGTCTCTGTGGGTCTCTGTGGCTCTCTGCGGGTCTCTGGGTCTGGGTGTTGTGGGTCTCTGCGAATTGTACGTTGAACTTCTTTCGTACCGTAGCGCACAGAGCGCGTCGAACTCGGATTGTAAATGTTGTGGCTTTGCTCTCCAACACACCGGTTAGTGCTGTACTAGTACACTACACTATACACTACACTATACACTACACTATACACTACACTATACACTACTACACACTACACTATACACTACACTATACACTACACTATACACTACTATACACTACACTATACACTACTACACACTACACTATACACTACACTATACACTACTATACACTACACTATACACTACTATACACTACACTATACACTACTATACACTATACTATACACTACACTACTATACACTATACACTACACTATACACTACTATACACTACACTATACACTACACTACTATACACTATAACACTACTATACACTACACTATACACTACACTACTATACACTACACTACTATACACTACACTATACACTACACTATACACTACACTATACACTACTGTACACTACACTATACACTGCACTATACACTACTATGCCACTACACTATACACTACACTATACACTACATTATACACTACTATGCCATTACACTACTATACACTACACTATACACTACACTATACACTACTATACACTACACTACTATACACACTACACTATACACTAGACTATACACTACACTATACACTACTATACACTATACACTACACTATACACTACACTATACACTACACTACTATACACTACACTATACACTACTATACACTATACACTACACTACACACTACACTATACACTACACACTATACACTACACTATACACTACACTATACACTACACACTACACTATACACTACACTATACACTACACTATACACTACACTATACACTACTATGCCACTACACTATACACTACTATACACACTACACTACACTATACACTACACTATACACTACACTATACACTACTATACACTACACTATACACTACTATACACTACTATACACTACACTATACACTACACTATACACTACTATACACTACACTATATACTACTATACACTACACTATACACTACACTATACACTACTATACACTACACTATACACTACACTATACACTACTATACACTACACTATACACTACACTATACACTACACTCTACACTACACACTACACTATACACTACACTATACACTACACTATACACTACTATGCCACTACACTACTATACACTACACTATACACTACACTATACACTACACTATACACTAGTGCTGTACTAGTACACTACACTATACACTACACTATACACTACACTATACACTACTATACACTACACTATACACTACACTACTGTATACTACACTACTATACACTACACTATACACTACACTATACACTACACTATACACTACACTATACACTACTATACACTACACTATACACTGCACTACACACTACACTACACTATACACTACACTATACACTACTACACACTACACTACACTATACACTACTATACACTACACTATACACTACACTATACACTACACACTACACTATACACTACACTATACACTACACTATACACTCCACTATACACTACACTATACACTACACTATACAATACTATACACTACACTATACACTACACTATACACTACACTACACACTACACTACACACTACACTATACACTACACTACACACTACACTATACACTACACTATACACTATACTATACACTGCACTACACTACACACTACACTATACACTACACTATACACTACACTATACACTACACACTACTACACACTACACTATACACTACACTACACACTATACACTACACACTACACTATACACTACACTATACACTACACACTACACTATACACTACACACTAGTGCTGTGCTAGTGACGAATTGTCACGTTGTGTTTACGTGACAACCCTCACTAGTTGGCCGTGCCGGGTGGTGGAGGGTTTTAACGACACATTTAATATTTACGCGATCTCACCTAAAAACCTCTTACGGATGATATCGGTCGCGAAAGCCTCCTACTACGTACGTGTTGAACTGATATTTTACTGGTAGGAGCGAAGTGAACCAGCCTACAATAGATTGTATCGTCCGTCCGTCTGTCCGTCCGTGTAGCAACATCGCCCCCTACTGCAAACACTTGGCATGACCCTACAAAAACCTTTAGACTCAGTGAGGCTTTCCTGGCTAAACAAGTGTAACATTCCCTTATAATTCCCTGAGATAGTTTTTAATTAAAACATTTCAATTAAAAATTAACTCACAGCGGCCTAAAGCCTACAGCTCGGCCTAAAGCCTAGACTAGTCCTCAAACTCTCCCTTCGTATCGTACCCCCGCGTGTGTGAAAGGGAGTTAATGTTTAACAATGTTACATTCCCTCATGTTTTTAAATAGAAACATTTAAATCTAAAGCTTTTACATAAATAATGAAAACATTTAAATTAAAAATTAACTCACAGCGGCCTAAAGCCTACAGCTAGGCCTGAAGCCTAGAACTAGGCCTCAAACTCTCCCTTCGTATCGTCCGATTAGGTGCAGCAACATCGCCCCCTACTGCAAACACTTGGCAGGACCCTACAAAAACCTTTAGACTCAGTGAGGCTTTCCTGGCTAAACAAGTGTAACGTTACATTATGTTTATATTCTTTGGTTGTTCGTTCCTACCAGCCCACCCCGCAGGGACCTGTTGTATTAAACGTGTAAAGAAATTAGTTTTCCACCGAGATGATTAAAAAAATAATTGTACAGCCCCAGTGTCTTCCCGTTGTACGTGCGCCCGTCACGAGAGCAACCGCGCGAAACCGCGCGCAACAGAGAGCACTTGGGACTCTAGATTTGAAGCTTTCGTTGACTGCAAGTATTCATATTGTTAGGTTTTTTCGGCAAAGTCACGTAGATTTCGATGTAAAGCTTTCGTGACTGCAGGGATTCATCTTCTTGGTTCTTTCGGTAAAGTCACGTAGAAGGGAAGTAATAAATAAAATAATAAAAATAAAACACAATAATGTATTACTTCCCTTCTACATGACTTTACCGAAAGAACCAAGAAGATAGGAAAAAAATGTAAAATTGATAAAAGCAAGCGCCTGCTGTGACGGTTCCACCTGAAGAAGCTTGTGTTTGCCTCCGAAACGTCGTGATTTTTATTTCGATTTAAAGCTTCTTTCGTGACTGCAGCGATTCATCTTCTTGGTTCTTTGGAGCATATATATGTAGAGAAGCTACCGACGGACGTACTCGGAGACGGAGGTATGGTTAGGGGCTTCCGCCAGGGTTTATTACTCTTGGTCAAAACTACACAGGGTACACAACTCCCAGGGGCTAGGGGTCCTACTCTGAGTCTGGGTCCCTGCCGGCTAGCTCCGGTCTCTCTCTCGTGTCGGATCGTGGAGTCTGCCGACTCCACCGACCGGAGAGAGAAGCACCTCTTCGGCTACCACCGGCTTCTCCCCAGACTCCCTATTTGATCCCTCTCACTATCCCTGGTTCCCTCTTCACCCTGTTTACTATCCCCGTTCCTATAGTGACCCCGCTTACGTTACGGGGTCTCCCTTATATACCCTCGGAGGGGTGATGTCGCGTGCACTGCCCAGCGCGTGCGACCCCACGTCCCGTGAGGTCACCGCACCTGACAGCGCACACGACGCCACCACTCTCCACTACTCCTCTACATCACCCCCCCCCGTAAAAAAAAAACAGCCGACCCGGCTGCAATCAACCTTAGGGCAGCACGGCCCTTCAAGCAGAACAGTAACAACAAAAAAACAAAACAAATAGAGCCCGAAGGCCTCATCCGCCGGATAGCGCCGAACGGGCGCCAGGGGCTAGGCCCGCTGAACGGCCATCAGGGCCGTCACCGGAGCCGCACCCCCCTCGAGCGGGTATGCGCTGCTGGCCCGCTCCCTCGTGCGGTGTCCGCCACCCGTGCAGGTGGGCCGTCAGCGGGCAACAGGCCCACCGCCGTGGCCTCCGGTGCCTGGGGGGTCTCTGTCGGCCTCACTCGGGAGGGGCCTGGGGGCACACACACAGGTCGGACGTCACCTCCGTCAACGAGACCCGGCCGGTCAGGCACGCCGGATACATCATCAGCCGGCCGCTCCGGAATTGGGGGTGGATCCCCCAGGGTAGATGGAACATAACGTTTGAGCCGGGACGGGTGCACTATCCACTGCCTGCGACCGAATCGAATCCGGACGCATTGCGGCCGGCGGACCTCCACAACCTCCACGGGTCCCTGCCAAGGGCGATGCAATTTGGCCGATGTGCCAACGGGGACCTGGGGACAATGCAGCCACGCTTTTTGACCCGCTACCCACGGGAGGCCAGCTGCCTGGTGTTTTGGCAGCCGCTCATTAGCCGCCTGCCGGCTTGCGGAATTCTCGGCAGCGGCCTGTCGCGCCTCGCGCAGCCGGTCAAGTGCGACCTTCAAAGGGGTCGGCACCGACGACCCCTTCTTGGAGGAGCCAACGTCCATCTGGACGTGCACCGGGGGCTCCGGTTCCCTACCGTACATTAAATAAAAAGGCGAAAATCCCGTGGAGGCATGAGGGGCCAACCGATACGCCGCCAAGACCCCCGGGACGAACAGGTCCCAGTCTGACTGGGACGTGTTCACCTGGTGGCACAGCATGGACGTAAGGGTGCGGTTCAAGCGCTCTACCATCCCATCTGACTGGGGGTGGTAGGGCGAGGTGCGGATTTTCTTGGTGCCAAGGAGGTCACACACCTCCTTGAGCAACCTAGACGAGAAATTCCGCCCCTGGTCAGTCAACAATTGTTCCGGCGCGCCCTTGTCAAACACGTATCCCTGGACGAAGGCCTCGGTGATAGAAGAGGCCAACTGATCGACCAAAGGCCATGCCATGGGCCAACGTGTGAGGTACTCAACGCCCACCAAGAGGTATTTGTGGCCCCGTTGGGATGCAGGGAATGGCCCCAAAATGTCGAGCGCCACGAGCTCATTAACGCGAGAAACCCGGATGGACTGCAGCGGGGCCCGGTCCTGGACAACTGGGGCCTTCCTCCGCGCGCAGTCGTGGCAACCCTTCAAAATCAGTGCTACGTCACCCTCAACACCCGGCCAGTAATAGTCCCGCTTAAGGGTCAATAAGGTCTTGTGGTAGCCAAGGTGCATAAGCTTCTCGTGAATGGCTCGGGTTAATTTACCACGCAGGCTAGTGGGCACAACCACACAATAGCGTTCCAATTGGGCATCCCAACGCATGAGTAGTCCGTCATGCACGGCGATCGCCGGGGCAGCCGACGAAGCTAAGCTCCGGGCGTTATGTCCGACACGGCGCCGTAGCTTCAGCAGAGAGGAATCCTCCATCTGCAAGCCGGACCATACCTCCCGGGGAAGTCCAAGGCCGAAATCTGCGGTCGACGCCGCACCTGGAGGGGTGTCCGCCTCGGCCGACGCGACCAACTGGGCCGCGGCGTCCCCTGGGGCCTTGCAACGGCTAGAGCCCAGGGCGCAAGCACACCCGCCGCCTGCCGGCAATCGGGATAAACCGTCCGCATTTCCATGCTGTGTCCCCTTCCTATGGATTACATCAAAAGGGTAATCCTGGAGCACTTCGAGCCAGCGAGACAGCTGACCCGAGGGCTGACTAATCTTCAGCGAATATTGCAGGGCCGCGTGGTCGGTTCGGACCGTAAACAGCCTACCGTACAAATATGGTCTATACAACTGAACAAAATAAACTATGGCCAAAAGCTCCCTCCGGGTCACACAATATCGCTGTTCCGTCGAGGACAGAACGCGACTGCCATAGGCTACCACCCTCTCAACCCCGTCGACCACCTGGGCCAGGACAGCCCCAATTCCCGTGTCGCTGGCATCGGTATCGAGCAGGAAGGGTTTCGTAAAATCCGGGTACCCCAAGGGCGGCGCATCCGCCAAGGCCGTGCGAAGCGCCGCAAAAGCCGCCTCCTCCTCCGCGCCCCAGTGAAACCTTTGTCCTTTGGCGGAAAGGGCGTGCAGTGGCTTCGCAATTGTCGCAAAATCGCGGACAAACCGGCGATAGTACGATGCGAATCCAACGAAGCTACGCACCTCCGCGACAGATGTGGGAGTCGGCCACGTCCGGACACAAGCCGTTTTATCCGGGTCCGTGGCGACACCTGACGTGCTAACAATGTGTCCCAAATACCTCACCGATGGTTGTAGCAAGTGGCATTTCTGGGGTTTGAATTTCAAGCCAGCAGCACGCACTTTGACGAACACCGCCTCAGGCGTTGCAAGTGCTCGCCAAACGTACGGCCAAAAACAATAACGTCATCCAAGTAGATTAGACAAGACTCCCACTGCAGCCCCGCCAAGACCATCTCCATGAGACGCTGGAAGGTGGCCGGGGCCGAATGGAGACCCATAGGAAGCCGATTGAACTCGAACAACCCCTGGGGCGTGCGGAACGCTGTTTTGGGTCTAGAGGCCTCATCCAGTGGCAATTGCCAGAAGCCGGAGAGCAAATCTAAAGTCGAAAAGAACCGCGCGCCCGAGAGGGCGTCCAAGGAATCATCCATGCGAGGCAATGGATATGCATCAGCCACCGAGATCTTGTTCAATCTACGAAAATCGACGCAGAACCGGAGACTCCCGTCCCGTTTCTTGACTAGCACAATGGGGGCACCCCAAGGGCTAGTAGATGGGGAGATGATGTCCGCCGCCAACATTTCCTCGACAGCCGAGCGGACATGATCTTTTTCCGCTGGGCTAAAGCGATGGGAATTAAGTCGAATGGGGGCCGCGTCGCCCGTGTCTATGTGGTGGTCCAAAAGAGTAGTGCGACCCAGATCAAACTTACTTTGGCTGAACACATCGGTGAACCGTTCGATGAGGTCGCGGAGTTGCCGACGTTCCCCGAAGGACAACGAGGCATTCTCGTCGCACAACGTGGCGATCCATGATGCGTCGGGGTCCCCCGTGCGCATCACGCCCGCCACGACCCCTCCATCCGGGGCAGCGCTCTCGGGTGGAGGAGCCGGGATTGCGTGTGCCAGGACGGCGCCGGCCGGGACTATGACCGGCAAGGGTCCCGAATTGAGGACCTGCAAAAAAAGGTCCTGGCCCCCCGACACGGCTGTCAAGGCGCCCACCAACCCCTTCGTCCTTGAAAAGTAGCTTGACGGGGACAGGAGGATACCCGTCTCCGTGGAGCCCATTTCGAGCGGTTTGCGCAACCTAAGGGGTATCAGGATTTGTGACGCCGGTGGTACGGTCACCGGCACTTTATTCAAGGCCCGTACACCGGCGACCAAGGGAGACAGGACGGTAGGTGATTGTAGGAATTGCAGCCGCCTCCCTGACGGCATTTCCACACAGCCCTGGTCAACGAGAATTCGGATGGGCATCCTAGACAAAAAGTCGGTCCCCAAGAGGCATGGCACTGCCAAGGTCCTGGAGACCAAAATCGGCCCGGCCAACTCAATCTCGTCAACCCGAACCGACGCTACAACGTGGCCCAGGATGCCCAAACTGCCGCCGTTCGCGGCGACACAAGCCCCGCGAACCGGCCTTAATGGACCCACGCTGCGGGGTAGCAGCCCAAAAATGGCCTCAGAAATAATGGTGGCCGACGCCCCCGTATCCACCAGGAGGCGAACGTGCACCCCTTGCACATATCCTGCCACCGCTGAGGAGCCGGCAGCTGCCGCCACCATCCTATGCGCAAGCGCATCCCAGTGGCGGGTCTGTCTGGGCCATTGAGGGGGTGATGACGATGGTGCACCCGACCCTTCGAGGACAACCCCATGACGATGGGCCCTAGCCCCACTAGATGCATGAGGTGAAGGGAGCGGCCGCGCAGATGATGCGTCGCGACTCGCCTGGGGCCCCGAACCCGATGCCAAGGAGGGTCTGGGAGAAGGTGGAGTCCCTTTTCCAAAGGCCCCCGGGGCATTCCGGCAGCCCCGCTCAATGTGGCCCCGCTGACCACAGCGGAAGCAGGCCACCGTGTCCGCCTCCTGTGGACGGGAAGGTCCCGGCCGCCCCCGCTGCTCCGGACGGCGACCACCCGTCCCCCTTCCTCGACGATCGGGCATCGCCAGGGCCGCGAGGGTGTCCCCCCCGTCCGGCGCCAGGATCCCCGCACACGCCGCCATCTGAGGCCGTTGGCGGAGGGAGAGGTGCGCCTGAATGTTTTCTGCGACCGCCAAGGATGTGATCTGCCGATCATTGTTGATCGACAGAGCAATTCCTAGCTCCCTTGCCAGGTCAAGCAGCTTCCCCAAGGCCATAGAATCAAGTGCCCTGCCGTACAGGTCAGGGTATGCAGCCTGCGCCAGGGCCAGGAGCGAGCAGCGGAAGGCCAGCGGCAGTTCCCCCTCCTCCCGCCGCCGCAATGAAAACTTTAGCTGCGCGGTGGACGGCGGCTCAAAAACGTTGGCCATTTGGATATAGGCCGCCGGGAGTGTAGCCCGATTGGCCGGATGGATGGACTTGAAGGCCTGCAGAGCCCTTTCGTCCAAGCAGGTCGGAAGCGCCGGCAAGGCCTCCTCCATGGACCAGCCGACCGACATGTATGCCGCGTCGAACCGGTCCTGGAAGGCCGACCAGTCGCCCCCTTGCGCGACAAACGGCGCAACGTCGGGTAACCTGCGCTGCCATTGGCCGCGCGGCGCCGCGAGGTGTGGAAGCCAAGCGGCACCTGCGGGCCACCCAGCGGACGCGACGTGTTGCGGCGGTGGCAGCATTGCGGCTCCCGCGGGCCACGCCGAAGACGCGGAAAGGTGCGGTGGTGCTGCGGCCCCCATGGGCCACGCCGTAGGCGCAGCGAATTGTGGCTGATTTGCGGCCCCCATGGGCCACGCCGTAGGCGCAGCGAATTGTGGCTGAGTTGCGGCCCCCATGGGCCACTCCGTAGGCGCAGCGAATTGTGGCTGAGTTGCGGCCCCCTTGGGCCACGCCGTAGGCGCAGCAAAGTGTGAAGGCGCCTGCGCTTTCGCGACCCACCGGTCAGCGGCGGCGTACGAAGCCACGGCGTCGTCCCGCGACGCGGCGAGGGACCACGGCGTTGCAGCCTCAACGGGCCACGCCGAAGACGCGGCGGTGTAATTCGGGCCTGCAGCGGCCCCCGCGGCCCACCCCGCCGGCGCAGCGAGGTGCGGGACAGCGGCCGCAGCCGCGGCAACCTCTCGCGATGCGGCGAGGCACCACGGCGTTGCGGCCTCCCCGGGCCACGCCGTAGACGCGGCGGTAAAACACGGAGCCGCGGTGGCCCCCGCGGCCCTCCCCGCCAGCGCAGCGAGGTGCGGGACAGCGGCCGCAGCCGCGGCAACCTCTCGCGACGCGGCGAGGCGCCACGGCGTTGCAGCCTCCATGGGCCACGCCGAAGACGCGGCAGAATAACACGCAGCTGCGGCGTCATCCATGAGAAGGGACGCAGGCACGGCGAGGTGCAGAGCCGCGGCATCGCCGGTGTCCGGCCCCGTGAGCGCAGCGACAGGTTGAGCCGCGGCAGCACCCGCGGCCCATTCCGGCGGCACAGCGATGTACGGGGCAGCAGCAGCCGCCGCTGCCCACCCCGGCGGCCCGGCGAGGACGGCACGCGCGTACTTACCCTGGGCCCCCCCGGCGGGCGCCGCTTGATGTAGAGCCGCGTCGTCGCCGGCGGCTGGTCTCGCAGGAGCGGCGTGCCGAGAAATCCCGGCCGCGTCGGTGGAGAGACGCGGCGTCGCGGTCGCCATGGCAGCCGTAGCAGCGGCCGCATATGGCTCCCGAGCCAACATGGCCGCCGCGGATTGCGTCGCAGCCAACATGGCGGCCATTTCCGGTGGAGCGGTCGCTGGGGCCCCCCCGGCGGGTGCAGCTTGATGTAGAGCCGCGTCGTCGCCGGCGGCTGGTCTCGCAGGAGCGGCGTGCCGAGAAATCCCGGCCGCGTCGGTGGAGAGACGCGGCGTCGCGGTCGCCATGGCAGCCGTAGCAGCGGCCGCATATGGCTCCCGAGCCAACATGGCCGCCGCGGATTGAGTCGCAGCCAACATGGCGGCCATTTCCGGTGGAGCGGTCGCTGGGAAAACTGCGGCGCTTTCAACGTTGGCAGTTGACAGTTGCTCCCGTCCCGCGTGCGGGGCGGTTGGCTGCGTCCGCGCCTCCACCTTGGCCAACCTGGCTGTCAGCTGCCCCACCGCCTGCAGGAGCTGCTGCAGCAGAGCTGCGGGGACGCTCTCCGTCTCTGGCGGCGGCGGTGAGCTGGCACTCCCCGCAGCCGACTCCTCCCGCTCCGGCCCGCTCGTCTCCACGGGAACCGTCACCGGGGTCCCGGGCTCCGGGGTCACTGCTGGAGCCTCCTCTCCGCCTTCGGCGCCCTCCAAGTCATGTGCCGGTGGGTTCCTACGCCGTGCGCCCGCTTTATACATGTTGGCGACGGTGTAAACTTCTGACACCAGTTGTTGTATCGTAGACGGAGGTACTCGGAGACGGAGGTTGAGTTAGGGGCTTCCGCCAGGGTTTATTAACACTTATCACTATCCCTGGTTCCCTCTTTACCCCTTCCACTATCCCCGTTCCTCCAGTGACCCCGCTTACGTTACGGGGTCTCCCTTATATACCCTCGGAGGGGTGATGTCGCGTGCACTGCCCAGCGCGTGCGACCCCACGTCCCGTGAGGTCACCGCACCTGACAGCGCACACGACGCCACCACTCTCCACTACTCCTCTACATATATATAAGCTGGGCGCCCAGCTTATATATATATGCTCCAAGCACGTGTGCTGTTTCATTCAGACTCTGTCGCCTCGACAGACCTGGTCTCCACCTGA